GTATGAGGTATCACCACAGACCAAGAATTAGGATGGCACTGGAAACATTCAGGTATCAACAGCATCTAGAAAACATCTAGCAGAGGAGGGAATGAGGAAAAAATGATTGTGAAGCACTCTCCCCAATTCAGCCCTGGGAGTGTGTGCTGGGAGTGGAGACCATGACCTTTTCCAGGTCATGCTCCACCCTTGAGCCCAAACTGGGAACTGCAATGGCTGCTGGGCAGACAATAACCCAGGTAGCTGGGACAAGGCTTCATAGGACACTGATGTTGTGAGCCTGCTCTACCTCACCCACCAGTGAGTCAGCTAAGCAAAGCCAAGCCTTGAAACTTAAGCTTTTCTCTTCTATTCCCAGCATATCTGCGATGCAGCTTGAGCAGAAAGCTAGAGATGTTAGGGGCCTCAACATGGGGAAAGTAGGGGGTCAGAGAAAGGGAGAGTGGCTTGTCTGAGCTGTCATCCAGGCTCCACCCAAGATTGGTGTATCTCTGCCACCAGAGCCTGTCTTTCCTCCCCCAATCCAACTCAATCTTCAGTCATGACCTCATTACTCCTCTCAGGCGTCTTCTCAACCCCACTATCCCATTCTTCCCAAATGTCTTCAAACCATCCCCCATTATCCACAGCTGATTCACACTATCTCCCAGACCTGATCTCTGAGTAGCCCCCAACACTGCTCTCAGAGCCTGTTCCTACTCTCAGCCTCCTAGACTGCATTTACATCCATCCCTAGCCTATCATCCTTCCTCCAAGGGTGCTCTGCCTTGAGCAGAGGTGAGATTTGATCTGTATTAATTTTCATTACCATAAGTGACTTCTATAGCTATTCCTTGTTTAGAAAGAATTTAGTCATCCAGAGAGCTGAGAAAACAGCCAAAATAAATCCTAGGAAGACATAAGCTTATCTCCATCCTCCTTCCCTCTGCCCTTATCTGTCTGCACACTCATAAAAGAGTTCTAGGTGATAGGACCTACACTTTTGAGTTAAAAACCAGGAATCTTGGGCTGGGGTTGTAGCTCAGCGGTACAGCGCTTGCCTAGCACTTGTGAGGCCCTGGGTTCGATCCTTAGCACCACATAAAAATAAATAAATAAAAAAAGATACTGTGTCCAACTACAACTGAAAAATAAATAATAGAGGAAAAAAAACACAGGAATCTCCAGGCCAACCCAGAGTTTAAGCTCATCTGCCCCTCATACATACACAGGTGGACATTGTTACATATGCATGTGCCCATAAACCTGCAAATATATCCATATATAATTAATTAAAGTGCACATATATTCATAAACACAACTGGAATGTGTGCTCCATGATGTAGGGACAATTTTCTCCCCATGGTGTAGCCCTGACCCTACAACAGTGCTAGTACATAAATGTTTGTAGAAAGACTGACACATATGGAACATATACTTGTAAATAAATGTATATACAAATACATATAATAATATATACAAGCTGGTAGTGATGGTGCATGCCTGTTATCCCCAGCTACTTGGGAAGTTGAGGCAGGAGAATCGCAAGTTTGAAGCTAGCCTCAGTGATTTAGCAAGACCCCCATCTCAAAATAAAAATTAAAAAAGTATTAGGACTGGGTGCAGTGGTGCACATCTATAATCCCAGTGACCTGGCAGCTGAGACAGAAGGATTGCAAGTTCAAAGACAGCCTCAGCAATGGTGAAGTGCTAAGCAACTCCCTAACACCCTATCTTTAAATAAAATACAAAATGAGGCTGGGGATGTGGCTCAGTGGTTTGAGTTTCCCTGAGTTCAATCTGCAGTATAAAAATAAACAAATAAATAAATAATATTAGGGTTGGGGATATAGATCAGTTGGTACAGTGCTTGCCTTGAATGCACAAGGCCCTGGGTTCAATCCCCAGCACCACAAAAAAGAGGGGGTTGGGTATGTAGCTCACTGGAAGAGCACCCCTGGGTTCCATCTAGTATTGCCAAAAAAAAAAAAAGCATTAATATATACAATGTTTACGTTGACACATCATAAATACACCTATGTGATATCTGCATACTTATATATGCATTTAGATAATCCACATACATAACATATTGTGATATACCTACATAATTTATACAGTTTACATAATGTACATATAAAAACACATATGCAAACAACCACTATAAACATAATAATTTATAGTTTAAACAGGTAAATGTAGACATCACATATATACTACATATGTGTCCACACTAAATGAAGACATATAGTAGCACCTTTTTACACAGATGCTTCCAAACAAATAAAAATTGTCTCAAGGACCCTGACCGGGGCCTGAAGGACACTACCAGAAATATCCACCAGATGGCACTTTTTCCCTACTTCCTATACTCCCAAGTGTTGCCAGAGATGTCGCTTTTTCCCTCCAAGATACAAAATATGCAAAGTCAGATGTAACTTAAGCTCCCCCTCCACCACCAGCAGCCTTATAAGTGCGACCTCAGTCCCAAAAATCTGCAATTCTGGCCTCTCCAAAGTCAGGCTCCTCCTCTTGGGACTCCAGACTTCCTTCCAAGATGTCTACTCCCCGTTGGGGCTCTAGTTCTGCCCAATCCTCAATTTGAATCTGTCACCAGCAAGCCAAGGATGGAGCTAAGCCCAAACACCTTCATTTCAGACCAGGACAGCTGAGGATTCTTTAGAGTCTGCAGTAGGAAGCAGCCAGAGCAGTGGCCCCATTCCCCGATGGTCCAAGGACAGAACCAGAGTCAGGGTCATTTGCAAAAACGTGTCATTTTCATACTTGTACATATAGCCCCTTTTGGCTTACTCCTCATAGCCTGCCTTAGATGAGGGAGAGTTGGACACCTAGCCCAAAAAAGCCAAAAGCAGGGAGGCCAGAGACAGGACTAGTTGCTATTAACCCTGCCTGCTCCTTTCAGGTCTTGATTCCCATCTCTGGGTGGATGCTGAAAGGAAGATGTTAGCTTTATCTAGGCAAACTACTTAAAATCTTGTATGTGGGGCAAGTACAGCCCCTCCCGCCTCCAGTCTTGGGCTACTCTAGGAGAGTGCACTCTCCTGGAACCTCAACATCTAGGTGTGAGCAACCTAGGAAGGAAAATGCAAGAAGGCTTGGAAACCCATGGGGAGGCGAAGCCGGGAGTTCCCGCAGTCGCTCAGCTTCCCCCGTCCTCCTCCCCTCTCCTCCCCTGGGAGCCCCGGGAAATTATTTATTAAAACACCACCCGCTCTCTCATTTATTTGCGGTGAATAATCCTCGGCATCTCAGCGCGTTTATTAAACCTTTACCGTCCCTGCGCCCGCATTACTTTAATAATAAATCGCGTGTCACTTTCCAGACGTTATTAAAGGCCATCCGCTGCAGCAGAGGCGGGGTGCGGGGAAGATGGAGGCGGTGCACAGCAGGGGTTCCTCCCATTCAAGGCTGCGGGGCACCAGCCAGCAGGGCGGCAGAGGGGGAAACCGAGGCTACAAGGAGGCTACTCCTGAAACCTACAAACTCTGCAAACGCTATTGAGGAATACAGAATCCCCAGGTCCCGCGTGACCATCTTGGGTCAGGTGGGGCTCTCGGCTAGGAGTCTGAGCTCTGCAGGTGGACGCTGTCCGACCCCTGGGCCTTCAGGGGGCGCCTTGAGTCCAGCTGGACGAAGAACAGCCTAGAAGGGGATTCCCTGGCTGGCTCAGGGACCCAGACACATGTCCCTTCTTACAGTGAGGAGCCAACCTTCCTCTGGTCCCCACATAGAATGAGCGCTTTCCCCCCAGCCCTCACAACCGGACTCCTGCTTTGTGGTTGCCTCGGAATTCGCCCCAAGTACCCAGCCCCTCCCCTACCCGGTGTGGTCCTGAGCGACTCCAGGAGCTGTCGGGCTCCAGCAAAGATTCAGAAATAAAAACCATTTTCCAACTTGGGGGCCCACAACAAGGCGGAGGCAGAAGAAAGAGTAGAGTGTAGATGTGGAGAGGTAGCCAAGCCCTGGGGCTGGGGTTTTGGATCAACCCTATCCCTAGAGACACGGCTCCCTGCTCCCTGCGATGGGCCCCAGAGACGCTAAGCCAAAAGTGGTCCCTCCCGTTGTGGCGCCAGCTAGGGCGGAGCCGGAAGCTTAGGAGGCCCTCCCTATCCACACACACAAAGCATCTTGTCTTGCTGAGTTAAGCTTCCATTCCCTACTTCAATCATTCAATAACTTCCCCAGTGTCCCTGGGGTAGGTAAGGAGAATGTGAGCAAGAGATTTGGGAAGTCAGAGTGCGGTTCTGTGACAGAATTGAAGTCAGATAGGTTGTAATTGGGGCAGTTAGAAATAGGCTTACCATGGCTCTGAGTTCAGCAGTAAAATGGATAGATTCCTGTGGAAGCTGGTGGCCCAACTTCTCCTCTCCTCTATCTAGTTTATGCTTTCATATTGGGGTCCCACCCACATAGACCTGGTTCCCCACTCTGCCAGAGAGGAAACCAGAGTAAGATGAACAGAAGGACAAGTAACCTATTTCTACACCAGCCCCAATGAAGGGATATCCTCCCACTAACCAGAAGCTTCAGGTTCCTTCCCTAGAGGACAGGGTAGGCCAGAGCTCAAGCTTTCTCTCATCTGGCAGGCATGTGCTTAGAGAGCAGGATACACAGAGCTCTGGAAGCCAGAGTCCCATTAGCATGAAAGGCCTCCCAGGGGTCTTCAAGTGCACATCTGCCAAAACTGTCTGTAGCTGTGTACTTTGGTTTATAAATCTTTTTTGTTGCCTATTGTGCCTAATTCTGTGCTAGGTAGGCTTTGTCCACAACAGAATGATTCAAGATTTGGAGCTGGCCCTACCCCTTTTATTGCACTGAACTAAACCATGTTCAGTGTGCTCTCTTGTACAACAGATGGTGAACAACAAAAAAGAACTACAGTTAATATCTGGGTGAGAGGGAAAACTTCTGGAATATGAGGGTTTTGTTTTGTTTTGGTACCAGGGATTGAACCCAGGGGTACTTAACCACTGAGTCAGGGCCTTGCTAAGTTGCTAAGGCTGTCTTTGAACTTGTGATCCTTCTGCTCAGATTCCCTATTGGCTGGGATTATAGGTATGCACCACCATGCCTGGATGGAATATGAGTTTTGAGGAAGAATAAACTGAGGCTAGGCAAAGGTTGGGAACACGGAAAACAACTGCAGGAACCAGGGTCTGTGGGAAAAGGCAGTTAGGAGAAACTGGCTAAGCAGGGAAGGAGGGAAGTCTGGTGGAAAGAGGATTCTGATGTCTGCAGTTATTTCATGTATGCTCTCTGCTCGCTCGCCCTTTTCAGGTCTCTTCCAGGTCTTCTCAAGCAGGGATGAATACTATACCCACTCATCCACCCCCATGGGCCAGAGCTCTGGACCTAGTAGTAATCCTCATTCTCTTCACTCTCAGCCACCTCTGGAGCCAAGTTCAGTGATCGAAGCTGGGGAATGCCTGTAGAGTTCAGCTGATCTGCAAACACACGTGGACAAAAGAGAGAGAACAGGGGAGAGGCTGCTGATGCACACAGATCAGTCTATGGGAAGACCATGCTTGTGTGCACCCACATAAACATACACATGTGGATTGTTACACACATGTGGATTGTTATACACATTTGAGGGTCCTAATCCAACACCATTCAACCATCAGAGCTCAGCCTCCCACAGCCACCCACGCCCCCCTACCTGGTGTGAGCACTGTCAGGGTAGCAGGAGCCTCAACCTCACCCAGGGCATTTCGGGCAAGGCAGCGGTAGGTACCCTCATCACTGGGACGCACAGCTTGGATCTGCAGCCAGCTGGTCACTTCAAATCTCTGCGGTCCACCCCTAAACTAGAGCCAGAGGCAAAGTCAGCAAGGTCAGTCTAGAGAGGTCTAGGATGCTTGAGGGAAACCTCTGCTCCCTGCCCCTACCTGTACAGAGATGTGGGGGTCATCGCCTGGCAGCTGGATGTCCAAGCCGTCCTTCCTCCACTCAATGGAGGCCATGGGGTAGGCAAACACCTCACAGCCAAAGATAACATCCTGCCCCGTCACATTCCAAATGTCATATGGCTGCAACATGATCTGAGGCTCTAGGGGGTGAAGGTGGGAGGCCTGAGAACAGGATGGTATATCTTGCCCAGCAAGGACACAATATACCAATTCTTGTGGACATGTATTTTAAGGAACACAATATATGCTGAACTAAATACACATCCACAAATAAAACATGGCATGTATACACAGATACATACAAATGTAGATACAGGTACATATGAGGGTGCAAATGCAGAATAAAGATGGACATGCACACATGTACACACAGAGCACTGTACAGACAAATTGCACAAACAAGTACACAGACCTACATCTTAGCTTTCAGGCACTCAGTCCAGGACTACTCCCTGGTCCTCATTGCACTCTGCTGGGCCCCTTTCCTGCTGTGCTTGTAACTAATACCACCCTCTCCCCTTCCCTCTCTTGTAACCAGTCCCTTCTCAAAGGCCTGAAGAGCAACCCTCCCTCCACCCCAGCCTTGGCTGGGAAGGGGGACTAAAGGGGGAAGAGGACCAGCGGGGAACCTGGGCTAATGTGGAAGAACCTGAAACCAAGCAGCCTCCAGGAGGCTGAGGAAATTGTTGGGACCCCCCCCCCCCCCATCCTGGTGTTTTTTTTGCCAGCCCCCCAGCCAAGCCAGAACCAGTAGTGGCTCAGGAAGCGAAAGTTGCTGAAGCCGCCAAAGAAAACTAAAAGCTTGAATGGCCCCAGTCCCCAGGGTGACTAGAGGGAAAGCTGAGAAATGATTCCCCACCCCCCCTTCATTAATCCCTATTCGCAGGAGAAAGGAAAGAGGCAGGGAGTTTGGTTAACAGAGTGCTTTAAGATTCTTCCCAAAGAAATCCCGGTACTCCGCACCCACCCCCTCAAAAAACAAAACAACAACAACAACAAAAATAAGAACAAAGAAACACTGATCGCATCTCTGTTTAGCTGTCTAAGCTCCAGAGGCCTAGGAAAAGTCTGGGGGTCTTTTTAATTTTGAACCAGTTATTGACTACGTGCTTCCTCCCTCCCTGCCGGTTGGGTCTGAGGATTTCAGGCAGCTCAGTACGCAAAGCTGCCAACAAAGCTCAGGACCCGCACCTTAAGGCAACCGCCTAGAGCCCTGTTGCCAGAGCAGGGTCTAACACTAGACTGAAGGCCTCCTGGGCCTCATCTTTTTCTCCCCACCGGCCAGAGACCAATGCCATCGGGGCTCGGGAAGCAGTGCCTGGAGGAATTCCCAATCCCAGGGATAGGGTCCTGGGCCGTGCGTACCGGCTTCGCAGGGCCCTGGATGCGCCACAGTGAGGTTAGTGTCGGGCCGAGCGCGGGCTGCCTCCTGCAGGCGGCAGATCTGGGCGTAGGTACGGCCGTCGGAACCGCAGAGCGGGCGTTGCGAGCGACAGACACAGAGCGGCTCCGGCACCTCTCCGTGGCTCAGGTCGCCGCCTGTGTCCAGCCGGCACTCAAGCTGTTCGCCGCAGCGCCCATAGAAATGAGCACTGGGGTCCAGGTCGCAGAGCTGGCCCTCGAGGTTGGCGCATTCCCAACAGCAGCCGCACGCGTCGTGCACCCTGCCCGCCAGGCAGCCCCGAGGCGTGACGCATTCTTCTAGCCGGCAGGGAGCGCAGCCTTCGCCCTCCGCTAGCAACCGCAGCCAGCCGCGCCGCAGGTAATCCGGGCCTGGGGACGGCCTTGCGCTGATCGGTGGTGGCATCCACCCCACCAGCAGTAGCAGTAGAAGGGGCAGCGCCAAGGCAACTGCAGCATGCTTAGCTGGAAGCCCTGTGAGCACTCGGGGCATCAGAGCGTTGGTGGCACCCTGCTAGAGAGGGAAGCCAGGTCAAGAAGTTGGAAACAATGCCTATGCATACAGACTAGCCTCACTGTTCCTTATACCAAAGCTTGATCCTAGCAATACCCTCTCCCCTGCTATCTTGGAGTTCCCTAACAGATGTCTAATAATCCCTAGCGGTTATCCAGTTATGCCGATCGGGTTGCTCTTGGGGCCTGGGGAATCAGGAAAGGAGAGATGATGGGAGATAAAAGGGCTCACATGCGCACACACACCCACAAACACCACCAGCACCACTTCCATACACCACCCAACTCTGCAGCTCCTTGTTCCAGAAATGGATGAGAACGGCCAGCTCCAGATGTAAGAAGCTATTAAAGGGGTTGGGAAGGGGAGGGATGCCCCTCGCGTGTGGCCAGGGGCTAAGGACTCACCTATTGTCCCGGACTAGGCCCTTAGGAGCAGCTTGGTGAATCCAGTCCGAAAGAGCAGGAGGTGGAAACAGTAGAGGTGCACAGTCGGCTGGGCCCACCTGCCACCTCTGCTCCCGCCTGAAGCCTGAAGATTTCCGAGAGCCCAAGGGCTTGGATTCGAAAAGCAGCTCCTCCACCCCTTTTCCCCGCCCCTCGACGTCGCGTACCCTCCTTCCCCCTAATTCTGAAGCTGCCAATTTTATGCAGCCGCACGGGACCGTCCCGGGCCATTTCCTTCCAACCTGGTCCAAAGCCACAAAGAGAGAGCAGAAGAGCCGTAACTAGACACCGAAGCTGGGAAAGAAGGAGGAGTGTGAGAGCTGGAGACTGGCAGTGGGGGTAGAAGGATGGATGGGAAGTTCAAAGTTTGGCTTAACGTCTTGGTCCTGTCCCATCTGAGTTTACAGTCCCAGGGGGTGGTTAGAGCAGCTGCTCTGGTGCCAAGGCATTTCACGTCGATGTCTGGGTGCACCTAGAAGGCAGGGTAAGCCAACATCGTCTCCCCGCAGCCCTGGGCTGGCTTTCCCCGGAGGTGGTAGTAGCCTTGCCCACCCAGTTTCTGCACTCAGGCACGGACCGCTCTTGGCGTTTACTTCTGACTGCCTACAACTGGCCTCCTCCCTACCCACTTCCGGCAGGTGCTTCAGTCCTTGGATGAGAGGGGTGATTAGAGGTCCGAGCTAACTAGCTGCTGCGGGGAGAGGCGGGCTGGGCGCATCCCCAGCGGGTGTAGCTCCCAGTCCGGATTACGGGTTATCGTTGCGAGACTGGCAGGGCCACAGGCACTGAGTCTCGCGGCCGCCACCAGCGCCACCGTGGCACTTTGGGCTGGGGGCGGGGAAGAGAGCACCCTCGGAAGCCCGCCCACCCCACGCAGGTCAGCCAGACCCCGCCCCTGCCTACCCCGAGAGGCTTTCTGAAGCCTCGCGGCAGTTAAGTTTATAGGAGCGGAAATCGCGGTTTGCTGCCAGGGAAGGGGCGTCATCTAGTCAGGATCAGCCCCGCAGGCCAGGCCGCCACAGCCTTTGCCTCACAGCAGCGGGGGTCCACCCAGCGGATCTGCCGCGCATGCGCTGTGCGCCCCGGAGTGAGCCTTGGAGGAGACCCAAGTTCTCTGCCTTGAGAGATCATCTGAACTCGACCATGCCTTTCTCTTAGGGGGCTCCCAAGCTGTGCAAACGGCACTCCCGACCACAGATATTCTGACGAGATGTAATACCGAGAAGTACACCACCAGCAGGGTCTCAAACTCTTTTAGAGGGACGAAAAGCGAACTTCTCGCGAGGTTTAGGAACTGTCGCGAGAATCAGGTCGGTAAATTTAGCAATTCCAAACAGGAAAAGCCCGCGGGTTTTAAACTGAAAGAGAATGGGCGGCGCCATCTATCACTGATAATTGTAGGTTATTCCTTGTCCTTGGCCTGGAGGGCAATTGAAGTATTGATATAGGGGCAGAAGCGAACAGCGAACTGCAAAGAATCGCTAGAAAAGGCGACCGAAGGGGTCCTGCGTAGCCGACGGTAGCCGCATAAGGGGAGGTCCCGACTGACAAAACACCTTAGGGGCGGAGATAGTTGCCCCGGATACAGAGCAGAAGCACTCTAGGATCTCTGAGTGAATTGCTATAGGCTTGGGGCTAATGTCAAAACAACAAATTTCATGGATCCAAAAACTCTTATCCCATTTTATCGTAGCAGTGTTTGCTCCAGTTTAAATCTCTAGTAATAGGGATCGTGCCTAACACACCACTGCATCATGAGAAACTAGCAGCACGATAAATTTTCAGCAGATATTTGTGGATTAAGTGTGAAAGACTTCCTGAATGTTAAAATCAAGTTTAACCTGGATTTTCTGAGTCGCTGATGAAAGTCTAGATCGACAGGGAACGAGCGCCCTCTGGTGGGATTTAAGCTTATGACAAGAATATGAAGGTTCATAAGGCAGGCAACAAAGATGTTGACTGTATATATAGTGGAGCCGCTTTAACTTTTAAAGAGTCACTCCTGTAATTTTAGCCACTCAGAAGGCTGAGGCAGGATAATCGCAAATTCGAGGCCAGCCTCGGCAACTTTGCGAGACCCGGTCTCAAAGTAAGTAAAAATTGCTGGTGCATTTAATTCACTGGTAGAGCACCCTAGGTCAATCCCCAGAAATGAAACAGAGTAAAAATATTTTAGAAGGAAGTTGTTCGAATGGGTTACCAGATCTTCAGCATTTGGTATTTTATCCATTAAGGCTCCAAAACATTCACTAACATCTGCTCCAAAACAATAACACCTTTGTACATCGTAAATAGTAAAAGATTTTCCATATTCATACTTTGGAACTGTTGACGGTCCGGGTTCTTGCTGTTGGGCCAAAAGAAAAGAATTCTCTACACGAGATGAGTACTGCAATGAGAGAAGCCAGGTGGCAGCATCTTTTGCGTTTACATGAGGGAGGCCAGATTCAGATGAACAAAGTGAAGTTAAAATTTGTTGAGTAGATGCTCTTGCTTCATCTCCCCACTTTCCTGCAGATGCTTGTGCTAAAAAAGGAATGAGGCATAGATTGTAGTTTGCTTTCCATTTGAATCATAGCTAGGAATCAGATTATCATATTTTCACTTTCAATGACTGACCCATGAAATAAGTATAATAAAAAGGGCTATAGATAATTGAACAATATAAGATGAAACAACAATAAGAATCAGTCTATAACTTGGTAAGAAATGGAGGATCCACACATTCTAACCTTTACTTTATGAACTCTTTTTTGACATAGTTGGTAAAGTAGTGGAGTTGCAACTGAGGAAGAAGTGAAATGAATGGTCCTTAGATATAGATACAGAGGAACTGTGCTTCCCATGAATATTTGAATCAGATAAATAAAAAAGGACTCAACATAGACAATTAAGATGAAATATTTTGTAGCTACCTACTATGACAAATAGGTGAACTCAGAGTGAGAAATATGTATCGGAAAACAAGATTAAGAGAATCATATGGATCTGTTACATATCACAGTTACATATAACTGTGAAATATATGTAGTGTATATCATCAATAAACACTAAATTTGGGAATGAGGCTGCAAAATAGTTGAGTGTAGGGCTCACTACCATTTATTTTGTAAAATTTTTCATAATAAAAAAGCAGAGGCTACATTTTTAGGTAAATTAGAATGTTGAGATAAATAGCATAGAAAGTTGGGATAGCAAAATAGGAAGTAAACATTATAATTCAACTAAAAGTAATGTTACAAAATGAAGGCTAGAATGGCCAGGATCTGACTCTGGAATACTTAGGCATTAAGGCAAGTTGAATGAACGTTAAGACATCTAGACAGAAATCAGGCTAATAATTACTTCAGTTTACCTTTCTTCCTGAAAAAAAGGAACTTATACCTCCCCGCATCCTATGAGTAGGATCTCATCCATCTTTGAGATGGAGATCATGGCTCCATCCAACCTGATAACCAATTTTTTTAGTTTATTTTTTAGTTTTAGGCAGACACAATATCTTTATTTTATTTTTATGTGGTGCTGAGGATTGAACCCAGTGCCCCATGCACGCTAGGCGAGCACTCTACCACTAAGCCACAACCCCACAACCCCAGCCCCTTGATAACCAATTTTTATAAGGACAAACTTAGAAGGGATGTTTAGAGCATTCTACATTTCTTTTCTTTTTTTGTTTCTTAACTTTTCTCATCAGGAAGTATAACAGACAAGCAGAAAGAAGCACAAAATAGAGACATATATTTTATTTAATTAGTACAAAATGAACAATCATGGGATCCTTATTCAAGTTAAGAAATAATAAATTGCTAACACTTCCTGAAGCCTCCACCCTGTCATCTCCATCATTATCTCTCCTTTTCTCCCTAGAAAACAGATAGCCTCCTTCCTTCCTTCCCTCCTTGCTTCCTTCTTTCCTTCATCTATCTGTCTGTTTGTCTATCTATGTATCTATCATCTTGTATCTCTCTCAATACCAGGGAGTGAATCCAGGGGCATTCTACCACTGTACAACATCCCCAACGCTTTTCATTTGTGTGTGTGTGTGTGTGTATGTATGTGTGTGTGTGTGTGTGTATGTGTATATATATATATATATATATATATATATATTTGCAGCAAGTCTCAATAAGTTGCCCATGCTGGCCTTGAATTTGACTTCTTCCTGACTCAGCCTCCTGAGTAGCTGGGATTGCAGGTGTGCATCATCATGCCCAGCTAGACAATCATTTCAAATTCTATAATTTTACCTGGTTTTAACATATAAATTGGGACATGCCTAGGAGTAAAAACTACTGCTTTGTGTGATATGCGTACTTTCAACACTAATAGATATTACCAAACCCTTTTTCCAAAGTCACTGTATCCATTTACAGTCACCAGCAGTCAATGAGAGTTCCCCAAAGTGCCCGATCACTGTCAACATTTGGTATTGCCAGTGTTCTTAATTTTAGGCATAAAATGGGTAGTTCTTAGAGGGAAGTGGATATGGGGGTAGGAATGAATTGAAATTATTACTATACACACACATATATACATATCAGACATATATATACACATATTGGACATATGATTAGCAACCGGTATAACTCTATATCATGTACAACCAGAAGAATGAGAAGTTATACCCCATCTATATATGATGTGTCAAAATTCATTCTACTGTCATGTATAACTAGAACAAATAAAGATGGCTGGTTCTGAAAGGATTTCCTCCCTTAGATTAAAAAAAGAATTAATCATGAAATAATTTTAGTTTAACTTGTATAGAAGTTGCAAAAATAAGAGAAAGTTCCCATATACCCTTTATCCTGCCTAGCCAATAATAACATTTTGTATAACCGTAGCATAATTATCAAAACCAGGGAGTTGACATTACTAAAATACTATTAACTTAACTATGGACCTTATTAAGATTTCACCAGGTCACTTTTGGTTTTGCTTTCCTCTGGTACTGGGAATTAAATCCAAGGCCTTACACATGCTAGGTAAGCACTCTACCACTGAGCTCTATCTCTAGTCCTTTTTAATTTTATTTTTCAGACAGGGTCTTGCTAAGTTGTCCGGGCTGGACTCAAACTTGTGATCCTCTTGCCACAGTTCCCAGAGTAGCTGGGGTTACCGGCCTGTGCCACTAGGCCTGGCTAGATTTCACCAATTTTTACATTACATTTACATTACATTTTTACATAGACAGTGTATGTCTATGTAGTTCAGTTTTATGACAGGTATAACTATGGATTGAATAAATGATCATTTTTGGTGTGACAGACTAAAGCTGATGTCAAGAGAAAGGCTAGTAGAATCAGCAATACTAAATATAATGTCATTTAATATATGGTTCCTTTTAAGATTATTATTATCAAAGGTCAATGATGGGAAAGGCTGCAAGTTGTTGTAGCTAAACACACACATTTGCATACTATGAACTTACCTGTTGGGGAAACTGGGCAAGGGTATAATTCCAATTCTAGCACTATTAGTCAAAGTCAAAGTCCAAGTCTTTTTTTTGTACCTAGATCCCAGGAGTGCACTAACACTGAACTATATCTCCAGTCCTTTTTAATTTTATTCTTGAGTCAGGGTCTCACTGACTTGCCCCTACTGGCCTTGAACTTGTGATCCTTCCCACTTAGGCTGCCTAGCCAATTGTTGGGATTCCAGGCATGCACCACCACATCCACTTTTCACTGTGGCATACTCAGAAAAAAAGATTTTGTCTCACCTTACATTCACTTTTTACTTAAAGACCGTTTTCTTTTGGTGAGGCCAATTAGATAACTTTCTGTTGACACCTCTACAGGATCTCATATTCCT